ATTTTAAATATTTTATAAGAAAGCAAAGAAGATAAGACTGTTTTCGCAAAAATGATCGGGACCAGTAACGCTGGGGTTGATATACCTAAAGCGACTCATGGCCCAACTCTGGCCCCTGGTTTGTCATTAACAGTTGTTCTGAAGAGAAATAATTTACTTAAGGAGTTAAGATCAGTAAAACAGTTTAGTGAAAAAATACTAAGGTTAGTTAACTACCTAAGAGGCTAGGCTACTAGCCGGGATGGGAAGGATGGAATAGGAGCTTGGGAGGTAGGAGCTTGGGAGGTTGGTAATGAAGTACGGGTTTACGATTTGAGGTAGTAGGAAGGTGGTACGTTACCTCGTTTTTACCTCATTTTAACTGACAAGTAGCAACAGTAGGACGGGAAAATGGGTACACTCACGCTGGAATAGCACGATGGAAGCGTGCACGTTTTCTGGAGGTACGGTGTACGGGAAGGATTAGTGTAAGTCGACGAACGAACAGGCAAATAGCGGGAAGAATATTAGGATAATGCACGTTTTCTGAAGCTATGAGTACGGGAAAGGTGCTGGAAATCGGCGTGTGGACAGGCTAAGAGCGGGAAAATTTTATTTGTCCGGTAGTAGTAGATTTTGTCTTTTTCTGTTTCGCCTGGATGTGCACTCTGTTTCGCCTAGATGAACCCTCTGTTTGTAGTGGTTTGCTCTGGTTTGTATAGATCTCGAGTGGATTCTGTCTCTAGATCTCGTGATACTGAGCTCCGATCGCTGTAGTTTGTGAAGGAACTCAGCCCTTCGTAGATTTAGTAGATGCGGAGGATTAAGTAGGATCGATACCTCCAGGTACGTAAAATGGACAAACTTCTTGATGGCGCGCGTTCGTTCTGAGGGAGATCAGTCTTGCGTTGGCGCTGGTTTTGGCTGCACGAAGCGGCGGGAAAACGGGGGAGCCTGCCAGCAGGTTGGAAGGTGGCACCGTAGAAAATGCGCGAGAACTGGTTTTTGTTATTTTATTATTATTTTGTAGGAAAGCTCGGAATTGGGAAACGCTGTAGGCTTGAGTTGCGGCGGCAAGGGAGTTTCAAGTATAAGTACGCTAGTTCTTAGGCCTCAAAGCATCTTGAACCACCCCCTGATGAGGTCGCTAACTGGCAGCGACCGAAACTAGTCGGGGATGCCAGCGCCTCGGTCTGAGCGCCACTCTTTCTTTCGGTCGACGGAGGTGTCATAGCTGAAGCTATCATAGCTGAAGCTGTGAAATGTGCTTCATGTCTTTCTTTAAACTCGGGTTTCGAGGTTGATTTTCACATATGATCGCTGCGCGTGTCGCGGCAATGTGTCTAGCGTTTGTTGGTCTTGACTGACTTTGCTTTATCACCTACTAGCCGGGGCCGTCCGGGTCACCCTGTTTGACCGGGCTGTGCGGTCGTGCAAGGACCATAGGTCTCAGCAAAAAAAAAAAAAAAAAAAAAAAAAAGTCTTAAGAAAAGAAGAATGTTATGCAGAAAAATAAACTGAGCACTGTTTGCCTCAGGGTCACATGGAAATTCTTTACAAAATAAAAAATAAAATAAAAAGAAGAACTTTTTTTTTTTTTTTTGGCCCGGCCAGGCAAGTGGTCCTGGGGCACTCTGGTAGCCTAGCTAAGAGGCGTATAAGCCCTCAGAGGCTCCTGCCTAATTTTGCCCCATGGTTTGTCATAAACAGATTTCTTCATAAAAATGATGATCTTAGATTCTTAATCATTCGATAACATTTGTTAAATACCTATAATAGGCTCGTGGCTAACTTTGGCGCCTGGTTTGTGTGTGTGTGTGTGTGTGTGTGTGTGTGTGTGTGTGTGGGTGGTGGAGTTGTGTGTGTGCACCTATATTCACACATTTTTGTTCCGTTCTGTTTACGCGATGAATATGTTGCAATGCTTATAACTTCTCTGGATTCTCTGGATCGTGTTGTGTTACTTCTGTTTCCAGTAACATACAAATGGAGACGTCTTTCTGCTTTGGGTGCTGTTGTGTTACTTGTGGTACTGTTTAGTCTTTAATGTCTCTGTTGTTGAAGTGTTGCAGGAGTGATGATTTCTTGTTAGGCGGTTAGTGTAACTGTTATTGTTGCTGTTTTGTGTGTCAACTGTTGTCTGACTGTTCTTTTAACTGTCATGCGACAAGTGTGTTCTTGTTGACAATTGTTTTTGTATGTGCGTGTATGTGCAATCTTGTTATTGTTGCTGTTCTGACTGTTCAAGTGTTGGTTAAGTGATAGTTTCATGTTTGGCGGTGACTTTGACTGGCCGTTGTCTGTTCTTTTGACTGTTGTGGAACCGTCGTGTTAACTATTGCGTAACTATTGTGTGGGTGTATGTGCAATCTTGTTGCTGTGTCGTTGTTGGTGTTCTTGTTGTTTAAGTGTGTAGTTCCTTCTTAGACAGTTAGTCTTAACTGTTGCATAGCTATTGTGTGTGTGTGTGTGTGTGTGTGTGTGTGTGTGTGTGTGTGTGTGTGTGTGTGTGCGCATTTGT